GAGTCTGTAATCTTCAACAGCCGGGGCCCAAACTGCCAGTAGGGAAGGATTTCTAGTTACACTGTCAAAACGGTCAGAATTAGAACCCTGCATGCCTGTCAAGTCCTGTATTCTATTCTGCATTCTGCAACATTGTATTTTAATCTTGGAAACTAACTCTTGACAACCTAGTTTCCACAGACATCCTGTTTTAAATTGAGGGTACTGGGTCTACCACGCCCCCCCCCACCCCAGTTTCCTTTTGGTCTCTTATGAATTTTGTGTTTGAACACCTACCTGTGAATCAAGCATAATTCTGTACACAGGGAAGCAGCAGAAACATTAAACCAAAGTCATGGAAATGACTGACCGGAAGAGGGAAGACCAACGGGCAACAGCTATTACAGGGCTGGGTATCTCTCAGTGGTAGACATCTGTCCTAGTTTGTATGAGGCTTTGGGCTTAACTCCCAACCATTAAAACAAACTAATAAAATACAATTTTTTTCTTTCACTTTTTTATTATATACAAAAATATCAGTGACCAGATGGAACCCAGACAACGGCTCTAGTGGCAAATGTGGTTCAAAGAGGAGGCTAAAAACATAGAAAAACAATGGAGGGATAAAGGAATACAAGTGTTTGACTAGATAAATGCTGTTCTTGAATATTCCAGTTTTTTCCGTTTTCAGTCCAGGTTAGTCCATGCTCTGGTCTAGTTTTCACACCAAGGACCAGCAGTTTTTGACTGTTTTACTAGTCTCATAGAATATTATCCTAGTAGGTGTTTTCCCCCACTTAAGACAGGGTTTCTTGTGTAGCCCTGGTTGTCCTAGACGTCACTCTGTAGACCAGGCTTGGCCTCGAACTCAGAGATGCACCTCCCTCTGCCTGGAATTAAAGGCGTCCACCACCGCGCCTGACTCAGTTTCCTTTGTATCAAAACTTCTCACTAGCTCTGAATTTGCTTAGGAGTCTAAGTGTCGACAGCAAAGCTGCCTTCTGCTTCCTGATCCCGACTCTCCTTCTTGTAGGGTCATCAAGACACCTGAAGTAGCCAACTTGGCCTTGCTTGGCTTTGGAGATGTCTTTGCCCTGCTGTTTGACAACCACTACCTGTACATCATGGACTTGAGGACAGAGAGCCTAATTAGCCGCTGGCCTCTGCCAGAGTACAGGAAATCAAAGCGGGGCTCCAGCTTCTTGGCAGGGGAAGCATCTTGGCTGAACGGACTGGATGGGCACAATGACACGGGCTTGGTCTTCGCCACCAGCATGCCTGACCACAGTATTCACCTGGTCTTGTGGAAGGAGCAAGGCTGACGCCAAGAGCTACCATCGCTGACTGACTTTGGGTGCCAGGGCTGCGGGGTTTGGGTGCAACGTCTGTGGCAGCCAACTGCATGAACCAAAGTTCTCACCTAAAGGTATCATCACGCAGTGCACAATCATTTATCTCTGTTTGCCAGGGGCCAGGGCTGGGGCGGGAGGGCTTGTTTTACTGACATACACCGCAGCATGCTAATGAGGTACACCATTGACTTACTTCATTTGTACTTAGTTACGTTGGTCAGTATAAGAGGTTGCATTTTTGGATTTATCTTTCTGAGTGGAATATTGAGTAAAGAAAGTTAAATGATTCATTAATCTGCTAACTGGTTGCCTATAAAATCACATGGAGTCTGTTATTAAAGCTTTTACCCATAGCCTTTGTTTGAAATTGAAGCAAAGGTGCTGTGATGTTGTTATAGCAACTTTTCTCACATGAGGCTTGGATTTTACAAGAGCCATTGTTAAAAGACCACTCAGTCCTGTGACATTCATTAACTTTCTATACTAGACACCGTTCTACAAAGCAGACAGGAGCCTGCTGTCAACTGTTCACACCTCATTGTAAACAACAGTTCTTGGCAGAGGCAGGATTGGCTATGGTTAAGATGTGAGGGTTTTCTGAAGTTTTAGTTTACATGTAGGGAAAGCTGGTCCCCACCTAGTTAGTAGCACAGAGATGCTCTGGGGTGATAAGCCCTGAGCTGTAAGATTGGTGACTATCATGTAAGTCATGTGCTTTCTCTAGCCCAATTTCCTCAGATGTGTAATCAGGTGTTCAGCTAAGATCCTCCCAGGCTTATATACATGTGTACACACATGAATACACACATGCACGCACACTTTAAGTATACATGTGTACATACACACAAATACACCAATGTATACACATAAACATCTGTTTTGAGATAGAAAACATACTAGAGGGGCTGGAAAGAGATGGCTGAGCAACAAATTAATCTGATAAAACTATTTCCAGAACAGAAAAAAAAAAAATCCTTACTAGACTTACCCTCCCCCTAATTTTCTGGTTAACTACTAAGAAAAAATTCTAATGTTTTTCCGTATCGGCTGGAGAAATGACTCAGTGGTTGAGGCACATACTGCTCTTGCAGAGGACCTGAGTTCTATTTCCAGCACTCATGTCAAGTTGCTTACAACTGCCTGTAACTGCAGCTCCAGAAAGCTCTAATGCTTCTGGCCTCTGAGGGCGTATATGTGCATATGCCCTATCCTGCGGACCCCCCCCCCCCACACACACACACACACACACACACACACACACACACACACACACACAGTGGATGTAAGTTCAAGGACAGCCAGAGCTACACAGAGAAACCTTGTTTTAATAAACCAAAAAAATTAAAACAAGCACACAGCAGGAGCTGGAGTGGCTCAGTTTATGCAGTTAAGAGTTTAATGCTCTTGCAAAAGGCGGAGGTCCAATGGAAGCAGGAGAATCAGGCCAGCTTGGGCTATATGATATTCTGTATCACAAAAAAAAAAAAAAGAAAGAAAGAAAGAAAGAAAAGAAAAAGAAAAGCTGGAGAGATGGGTCAGCATTTAATTAAAATTGTACAGATGATCTGAGTTCAGTTTCCATTACCTACATCTATATCTGGTGGCTCACAACTGCCTATAACTCCAGCTCCAGGGTGATCTGGTGCCTCCGACCTCCAAGGGCACCATGTGCACATATCCCTACACACACACACACAAACACTAATTTAAAATAATCTTATGGGCTGCAGAGATAGCTCAGAGGTTGAGAGAACTGACTGCTCTTCCAGAGGACTCAGGTTCAATTCCCAGCAACCACATGACAACTCACAACTGTCTGTAGCTCCAAGATCTGACACCCTCACACACACATACATGCATGCAAAACACCAATGCATGTTAAAATAAATAGGGCCAGGCAGTGGTAGCACACACCTTTAATCCCAGCCTCTTGGGAGGCAGACGATCTACAGCACTAGTGTTTTCCAGGACAGCTAGGGCTGTTACACAGAGAAACTCTGTCTTGAAAAAACAAAAATAAATAAGTTTTTTTTTTTTTTTTTTTTTTTTGCTGGGCAGTGGAGGCACACGCCTGTAATCCCAGCACTCTTGGATCTCTGTGAGTTCAAGGACAGTTTGGTCTACAAAGCAAGTTCCAGGACAGTCAGGGCTACACAAGAGAAACCATGTCTCCAAAATAAACAAAAAGACTTATTTTATATGTATGACTGTTTTGCCTGCATGTATGTCTGTGCCTGGTGCCTGTAGAGGCCAGAAGAGGGCATCACATCCCTTGGAACTGGAGTTACAGGTTACAAACCGCCATGCCCTTGCTGGAAATAGAACTTCCATTCCAGGTCATCTGAAAGAGCAGCCAGTGCTCTTAACCACTGAGATCTCTCTCCATCCCCAGCAAGAACTATCTTAAGATCCTATCTCAGAAAGAAAACAAAAATTACCAAGCAGAAAGAAGAGACAAATGACTGAAAGATGCAGGAAATAACTTCATGTATCAAATGAGAGAGAAAAACAGCAAAATCTTCCTAAGAGAAATAAAATTCACCAACAAAAATTTAATTTTTTCTTGAAAAAATAGTTTTTAAGCCCATAGCTTAAATTATAGAAATTGCACAAAAAGAATTCAAATGACCAAGAGTTTATGCACTACATAATAAATCAAAGTTAATGGAGTAAAACAGGCAGTTCAGGCGGTGGTAGCGCACGCCTGGAATCCCAGCACTCGGGGGCCAGAGGCAGGTGGATCTGTGTGAGTGCGAGGCCAGTCTGCGCTACAGAGTGAGTTCCAGGGCAGTCAGGGCTACACAGAGGTTTAAACGATGTCTGGGGGGCAGGGGGAGACACTAGCAAGGATAAACACCAACGGGGACCTAAGCACTAGCTTTAGCAGAAGCAAAATACGTTTAAAAACAGTGGTACACCAACGGCATGCTTCCTTTACAGTCATTCCTTTAACACTCGTAACTTGAACTGAGACCTCTTGGAAAACCAAGAAAACGACACTATGGGTTATACAGGAATAGCTCAGAGATCATAAAAGCATCTGAACTTCTTGATAAGCGATCGCTTGTTCACTTAAATAGCTCAACAACGTACTAAGAGATGGGATCCACATCCGAATCATCAGAAGAACACTAACACTCCTAAGAAGCAATTTAGGGGAGTGGCGAAGCAGAGGCGACTTGACACACTCCTAGTACTGTCACACCGATCCCGCCCACCGGCTTCCCACCTCTCAGGGACTTATAACACACTGCGGCCATCCGCGTCCCTGGAGCAGACAGCAGCTCCTGTCACCTCTGCTGGGAGGACCCCATCCCGAGAGCACTGCCCGCTGGGGCTCGGCCGGGCTCCGTCTCCGGGAAACCCAGCGTGTAAGAGTGAGTCTTTAAGCAAAGCCGCTAGGGCTCGGAGTCCTCAGGGAGCCAGGGGGTCGCACATCCCCGGGATCTCCCCTCAGGGATCCGCTCCAGCGTTCGGGGAACTCGGGCTGCCCTGGTTCTCGGCGTCTCGCCGCGTCGGACCCGGTCGCCTTACACCGCGGAGCCCCTCGGCCGCGCCAGGACCGGATGCCCGGTAGGGGTCCGGCCGAGGGAGGAGGGCAGGCTGGCGGGCGCCCCACAGCCGGAAGGGGCTTGCCTCGCAAACAGGACGGCCTCCGGCCCGGCTCACCTTCAGGTCGTTCTCGGGAAGGTACTTGCACTGCCGCGCTATCTCCACATACTTGTCCAGATCTAGCGGCGCCATTTTAGGAAGAACCAGACGCGACGACGGCAGCGGCAGCAGCTGTAGTGCGGGAGGCAGCGGCGGAGGCCGAAGCCGGAACCCTCCTGACGTCACGTCCGACCCGTGAGTGGCGTCTGCGCAGCGACGTCGAAGCCTAACTCGCTTCTTTCCGGGCCGCGACACGCCCCGCGCCCTCTCAGGCGGAACTCCGGGTCTCTAAGAGAACCCGGGGGTCCTGTTGACGAAACCTGCTGGGACCCGTAGCTGTCTGCCGCGGGGAGTGCTGGGATTTGTAGTTTTAGTGAAACCGAATGCTCCTGCTCTCCTCTTCACCTCCAGGAAACCAGATGAAGCTTTTCTGAGGGAAGATTACGAAGACGAGGTATTCCCTGGCTCTCATCCCTACCTAGTAAAGCACCCTGTCAGTATCTTCAGTTAAAGTTAGACCTGGCCTAGACGTGTGAAACAGATTTCACACCCCCAATTCTCCGACTTGGAAGAAAAGGAAAAAATAAAATAAAGCATTTATGCTAAATTCTGTACAAATACTGGCGCGCTTTTTTTCCTCTTTAATTCTTGTAAGACTGATAGGAGTGCAAAGCCTTTACGTGTTACTTGCCCCAAATATCAAAGGAAACAAAAAACGTGGCACCTAGCCTGGAAAACAGGCTACTGAATTAATCAAATGTGTGAGTCCCACATGGGGGCAGGAAGGGTTTTTGTGTTGCGTTGTTTTGTTTTGTTTTGTTTTAACTTTGTTTAAATAATCTCATTGTCAAAAAAATAAAAAATAAATAAATCTTGAGCCAGACAGCGGAGGCGTTTGATCCCCGCGCTCTAGAGGCAGAGGCAGGCGGATCTCTGTAAGTTCAAGGCCAGCCAAGATTACTTCACAGAGAAATCCAGTCTCAAAAAACAAAACAAACACCTAATATAGCTTTTTGGAGGGCGGGGGTTTGAGACAGGGTTTCTCTTTGTAGCTTTGGTGCTGTCCTGGATCTCCCAGGTTGGCCTCTTACTTGGAGATCTGCCTGCCTCTGCCTCCTCATGCTGGGATTAAAGGCATGTGCCACCACCACCCGGCTTTGAGTTCTGTTTTTAAAATGGGAGTCAAGAAACCGGATATGAGAGTTGGGGATTTAGCTCAGTGGTAGAGCGCTTGCCTAGCAAACACAAAGCCCTGGGTTTGGTTCTCATCTCTGGAAAAAAAAAAAATCTTTATTCCCTGCCAGGTTCCACCCTCCTGAATGCTTAAGGGAAGTTCCTTGTCTGTGTATCCTGCACAATGGGCTTAACAGCTTAGATGCAAGATTGTAAAACATCGGTATTTCTGCCCTCCAGGTTCTCCCACTGTGCTGTAAGCCTGTGTTTAAGACCTCTTCCCTCCTTCAATGCCAATGCATTTGGCATTTAATTAAAAAAAAAGAAAAGAGCCGGGCGTGGTGGCGCACGCCTTTAATCCCAGCACTCGGGAGGCAGAGCCAGGCGGATCTTTGTGAGTTCGAGGCCAGCCTGGGCTACCAAGTGAGCTCCAGGA